ATCTACCACCAGCATCATGCACACTTGGACTTTCTTTATTCTGCCTTGATTCCTTAACCAGGAGTCAGTCCTTCAGCAGCACCTTTAAGAATATACTACACTTGAATTTCACAGTAATGAAACCCTACTCCAGTACTGAAAATTTCAACAGCTTAGATAAATGCCAAATACTTAAGGCTATTGGTCTAATCAGAAAAGTTCTCATTATACACCAACTTCATGTTAGTCCAGCTTCTATACATTTTTTAACAAGTCAACAGGTCACAAACACAACATTAGCTAATGAGCAGATCAATGCTGTTGCACAAGAGCAGAGACTCATTCACCGCACAAATAAATTGTGAAGTTGAACCATGATAACCCATGATCTGCAAAACACTATCCAATACAGAAGAGGGTTACTTTTTAATGATTAAGATGAATCATGTGTGAGCTTTTAAACCCTACCATAACAAGTAATACAAGTTACTGCAGAAAAGCTTACGGCCATCTGGAGCACAAAGATACCCAATCGAACCAACTATTCCATAGTTTTGTTTTAAAGCTCATCTATTCCGTACTAGATTAGCTCCATTTGAGAGGGCACAAAATCCAACCTCACAAACTCCATACAGATGGAAAAAGGACCCTACGAAAGAAAGGATGCACAAACCCATATATACTCGGTGACATTTCTGGTATCTTATGGCACAATTGTACTTAAGTATACCTGGCAGAAATGCTGACAGCAATCTTTTTTCCTTTATCCTAAATGTTAAAACAAAGCTGATGCAACTGCATGAGTTTATCCTTTAAAACACTTTCCACTTCTACTACCCACTAACACAGGCACTGCTTTCTGATTATGTGAATTTTTGTCAAATTTACATTTTATGGAAGAAGTGTTTCCATTAAGTTTTACTTCCAACAACTTCTTGAAAATAAGCAAAAAACCCAACATAGTCTGAATGCTAATTTCTCCTCTATTTTTTCTAGTAATATCCAACAATATAAACAGTTGCACTATTTTTTTTCATTTGTAGCACTGTTCTGGGTAAACTGAACAATTAATCCTCTGCAATGGAGGGGCCTCCCCCACACAAAGCCTTGTCAAATACGTAATTACAGTTCAGCCGCTGTTTTACAGAAAAAGTGTTCCAGTATAGCACGTCCCTTCTCTTTATACATCAGCATTAATGAAATAAGCATTTCTTAAACTATAAAGAATCATAGCAATGAATATACATTTTTATTAATAATCTGAGCCCAAACTAATGTTGCCCTCTGCTTTTCAAAAGGTCTGGGAGTCCAGCTGAACTAACGCCCATCATTGGTGAGGTCTATCTATTAGATTAAATCCGTTACTGAAACTAGGAAATGTTGCATATGTATGTCTTGCTGAGGTGCACTCATGCTGTTAGAGTTGCCCAAGAAATCTAGGATCTAATGATATTTTCCTCATTAAAAGTAGGGGATTGTTAATTTCTTCTATAACTAACATTATCATTTCCCTAAATTAGCTGTACTGCAGAACTGGAATTCCAGTCCATCAGTAAGGGTATTTCTACTGAAGTTTTAATAAAAACTGGTACCATTCACACTAATCATCTCTTTAAGCTGCCACAGGTTTTTCCCAGTAACTTACAACTCTGAGCTCTAAAGAGCTTCTATTAATAGTGCAGAGCAATACCAACTTCCCAAAAATAGAATTCCAGCCCAATTATTACTCAGATTGTTTGGTGTTTTTTTTTTTACTAGCAGCACTTCAGACAGCAATAAAATGAAATGCAGATACACATTTCTTCCCTGTTCACTTTGTAAAAGTGGCAGTCATGTAGGAGATTTTCAAAATTAAAGAAACAGGATAATAAAACCACAAAATTGACCCAGGGTCTTTGGGCATACAGAGTACTTACAGTTGTAATTAATTTTTTAGTGTGACAAGATTTCAAAACTGACTGTGGAATTCTGGAAGCTCTTTCAAATTTCCTCTATTCCAATACAGTAATTCTAATCACAAATGAAATGACTTGGCATTCAGTTCAAAACTACTTCAACACATGTTAATAGATACTGTATCTAAACTCCTGCTAAGCTGTTGTATAACAGGGATGTACACAGTATCCATCCAAACAGGACAGGGCAGGCTGCTCTACCATCACACCACCTAACAAGGCAGAAGCTGCAATCAGGGCTCTCACATTTCTATCAACTACAAAAGTATGGCCTCAGAGCATGTCCCTGCTTACCACAACGCACTGAGCTTGGACCATTCACCACAGCCTTTTCTCCAGTTCTTCTTGACACTAGCCATGCCCTCACAAGTGAGTAGTCACTTTAATGAAACCCAGAATTGCCAGTAAGAAGTTGCATGGTGTAACACTCATTTCTGTGGATCAGTACCATTATATACTTAAGCAGGTTCTGCACAGGAAGAGGCAAGATATGTTCCTCCTGGGCAAGTCAATTCCAGAAGAGGTTCAGTGTTATCCTTAATTACTAAGATAGGGTCAGGAAGAAGGGCATCATTTCAAAATTAGCAGAATTAAAAGCAAATACGGAAACACTGGCACAGGGGGAATATGTGCACAAAGATGTACTTTACAACTCTAATGTTAAACAAACAGTATTTTAAACACACAATGTAGGTGTCATTTAATTATGAAACTGGATTTTAAAACAGGACACATCTTTACAGCATGAAATGTTTTCCTCACACATACAAGACCATGTGTATCCACTTTCAGGATTTCATAAACAGACCTGAACTCATATTTAGTCAAAACAGTTGCCATACAAGCTGTAAAAGCAGAAGCAAAACACGAGAACACTATGTCAATAGAAAATAATTTAAAGTTAAAACTAAACTAAGGCTGGAGTTCTGGGCAACAAGGCAAAATAATTATAGATGTGTTAAATGCAAGGAAAATTAAATTACTGCAGGGCAGATCTGACATCTGTGCTAGCAGTAGTGCTACAGATCAGTAGTTATAGGCATTTCACACCAAGTGCTACAGAAGACAATTTAAGCAGTGATGACACCAGCTCCTTCCCATCTCTTGCCCTAGTGACACTCTTTTTTCCATTACAGGGGTTACTTCTTCCAAGAGTGACCTCTTAGATATTTTACATGCTAATGTTTGAGCAGCCAAACTCTACCTACACAAGCTTTTTTAAATAAAACCCCACAGTTTTAATATTCAAATACATTTATATTTTATGGTACATTAAAACAGCAGCTACATGCATAGTTGTAACAAATGAATTAAATTTTAAATCCCTGATGAATTTTAATATTGTGTCCTTCTAAAATATAAATAATTTAGCATTTTCACTAGCTAAAACCTAAATATTTCTTCCATTTATGCTGTAATTAAAAGACCTATTAATTAGTCTCTAGTACTGGACAGCTTTGATTTCCTAAGAATCACGCCTCTTCCAAATTAGAAATAATTGTCCAAAAAGTCATTCAGAAAACTGTTTCTGATCGTGTATGGGAGGTTGCATTCATTTTGCAATTCCAGATGCTAAGTTATTTAAAGAAATAAGTATATGTACATGCATATATGAGTTAACATGCAGTCTCTAAAGTTGACCTGAGGACACAGCTGGGAGACGAATCTCATGAGGCACATGATCTATCAGAAACCTAGCTGGTACTAGAACATGTCTAAACTACTCCTGTATGGCCCAAGATGTAAAATGAAAAACAAGATATGAGTTTTCCCCTAGTTAAAGAATATTTTTATGTGGGCATTGCTGCCACCACATGGCCAAACAGCTAAACTACTCCAACCCTTCCTCTGCACCTTGCAGATACAACCCGCTCAGCACACTACCCTTTCTACAAGCCCTCTCATTCCAGCTTTCTACTCCAGCATCTCACAAAGCCCGATCATTGCCACTGATTTCCCAAATTACTTCCACCTAAAAGAAGATTAGAAGGAACTTAAATAATTCAGATCTTGCTGACAGTCTCTTCCAAGTATAAGCACCAGCTGTAGGAACATTTCAGCATTGTAGAATTATGTCAAACCAATATTCAGAAAGACAACAGAAAATCTTCCAAGTGCCAGTCCAGGTAACTGAAGCCTAACTGATGTGCCAACAAAGGCTGAAATAGTTCCTTTCTGAAGCACGCTCCTCGAAATATGCCAGAAAGCCTGCTTTTAGAAAGCTGGACCCAGCACACTACCCTGCCACCTGCAGACGCTCAGCAATCTCTGAGCAGGTTCCTCATACTGAAAAGACATGGTGAGTTAAGTCACCACAGAAAGGGAGTTCTGTAATTTCTCGCACACAACAAGCAGGAGTCTACATTCATTCCTGTTTATTAGCTCTAATGAACTGTAGTTTGCTGCATACTTAAGTTTTAAAATACTTACCTGTTAAGCCTCTTAAAAATTACATTTTATTTTAGTTCTGCTGCACATCACCTGGTAAGCTCATTCATGCAAGTGCCAAAGGCACCGGAGAAACACCAGCATATGCTATAGCTATGGGCTTAACTCCATCACCTGTGGGATAAGGCTCCACTGGTCTGAGTAACTCAGTAGCACTCTTGCAGAGTTTGGACCAGGCTTCCATACATTTGGGCATCACATTTGAAATGATCCAAAGGACCAGGTAGTCCTCAATAAATAGCATTTATAGTATCTTCACCCATTCTCTAGGTGATCAATGAAGATATGAATTCTGCAGTTTATGAAACTATATGCACACAGATCAATTTTTATTTGCACAACCATTTCACCTGTAGCTTTCTAAAAGGAAGCAGAAACACACCATATCATGTATGATGACAAACACCATGTATCATTTTGGCAAGGCCAGAAAGGAAGTCAAAATGCCCTAGGGCTTCCTGGAGAAAGCTAGGATGCAGAAACCATTCATTCAAGAGTCACTGTCTTTGAAGGACTGCATAACTAAATGGCTCAGTCAGTCAAATGAAATACAAGATAACTGAACAGTCCCTGCTTTCTCTTGCATACCAATCAAGAAAAAGATGTGAATATACTCACCTTTTTTGCCCTTTGTGCTATATTAGGCGTTCTAGTGAGAAGCTTTTCAATCAGGTATTCTCTATTCTGCAAAGCCAACATTTGGTAAGTTAAAAATCAATACAAGGAAAGAAGAAATTTCATGTAGATTTTAAGGCAGAGCAAAATTTATTCATAGGGTTAAACATTTTACCTTGGCTTTCTGGAAAAATTTGCATTTTAAAAGTTCTGCTGCTGTGGGCCTGAAAGATCAATAATAAATTAGAACAGAAAACAAAGACCCCTCTCAGTGAATACAGTACAAGACGTTAGTTAAATGGTACGTCTCTAATACTTTTGAATTAGTACTGTATGAATGGGGAATGAATGATAATAGCTACTGAATTAATTCACACGTACTCACTTACCACACGAAAAAATTAAGCCTCTCTACGGCAAAAATACAAAAAAAAAAAGGGGGGGAAAAAAAGTCAGTCTCTAAGTTGCCAATTTTCCCCTTTTTCTTTCAACACAAATGCATTTTACCCTTAAAAGAAACAAACAAACAAGTCGGGTATCATGTTCTTCTCCAAGTGACTTTATGAATGCAACTGAACTTTTCTCCACAGCACTAAAAGAATAATTACATTTTCCAAATTGTAGTATCAATATCTGCTACTGGCATTTTTCCTTCATTGATGTCAGCAGGTATTCATGAGAAACTACACTGACACTATTAACATGATGCATAAACCACACAGAGAGTCAAACAGGAGCACCTTCTAACCAAAGAGACAAATAAAAATCAAAGCAACAGTTATAAGGTCAAAACCTAGACAATTAACTTTTACTTGCAGTTCTGTTCAAGTCTCTCTCTTCCCATCATCATCAAGTTCACATTTTTGACATTTTCAACACATAATCACAATCTCACAGCTACTGAAGTGATTCTAACAACAGGATCTGTCTCCTCTAGCTTCATGGATCTAAAAAGCTACTTATCTAGCCAAAGCCAGACTCTAGTACTGAAGCAGACTCTGGAGAGAAAGTGAAGCATCTCTTGGGATGAAATAAAATCCTCCAGGTTCTTTTCATCCTTTCCATTAGGAGCCCATACCACTATCCAAGACTAATTTTGACACAGCTAAATTTAGGGAAGCCTAAATCTCCAAGATCCATCATTTCTAAATAAACAGAGGCAACATCTGCCATAGTTTTCCATTTGAATTAAAGCAAGAGATTGGATATAGCACAAACTAGATAAGACAGTGGAAAGCTTCAATTTGGAACATTTCAGTCTCAAAAAAGTCCCCAAAATCTGAACCGGTTTACTTCCCTGAGGACACATTTGATGAGTAATTGAAGAAAAGAGTAGTAAGTAGCGTGTAGGTACATATCAACTCACTCCTGCCAGAAATAATGAAACAACTCCTGACATCAACAAAAATCGTGCAATTTAGACATAGACAGTAGTTCCACAGAGCACCTATTTTACTCCTCCTCCAAAGCACCAACTCTACAATAAAGGAGTTCTTATTAGAGGTACTGTGGAGACCACCAGGCTTAGCAGTAATTCACACATAAACCCTGGATGAGCAAAGAGGAAGTGGAACTTTAAAAAAAAAAAAAAACCAAAAAACCAAAAAAAACCCCAAACAGCTTCTGTCTCAAAGTTTTAAAGTTCTATCTCAAATTAACACTTAAAGTTAAGACAACTTTCAGTGATCCAGTATCATCACATCTCATAATATGCATAGTTAATAGCTAGATTCTTAGTAAGTTTTATCCAAACTAGTGTTCTCCATTCCTCTACCATTAATTATGCCAGACACCTCTGAACTGATCTGGACATGCTTTCTGGGCCTGTTTTCCACACAGGCCGTGGCAGTGAATTGCAGTTGAGGACCGTAAGCAGCATCCTTTGCACTGGGGGGAAAGAGAAACACCCACACACAGATCCCCAAAAGAAAAACATCATGGTTTGAGACAACAACAGTGCAATGTCAGTCCTAGAATTTGCCACAGATAGCAGGCACTTCCCCCACAGTTGACATGATGACTATGGAGGTATCTCCACTCAAAATTAAATCCTGGCTTGGGAGAAACATAAAAAAAAAGCGATGACCCCACAATATAAGGACACTCGCTCCTCAGTTATTCTAACTAGTACACAGATCTAATCACCTATCTGCTGGTCTAATCATTCAATTAAAGGCAATCCTGAGTATGAAGATGTTTCACATGTTTAAGTACAAGTGTAATAAATTATCATAATTAAACACTAATGTTTCAACACTGATGTCATAATCAGGTAACTCAGCATTATGTACTCAAGGAGAGAAGGAAAACCATTTTAATTATTTACTTCTCGTGTTTTCATACCAATTTAATCTTGCCCTGAAAATTTCTGGACACTGGAAACGAAAAGAAACTTGATTATTCAGAACACATTTCATTCTTATCTGTAAGCAGTCAAACTCTAGTGCTAAGCTTAGAGCATCAAGACTTGCTACTAAGACCATCAATTCAAGAAACTTAAGAATGAAATGTGTTCTGAATAATCATCTGTAAGCAGTCAAACTCTAGTGCTAAGCTTAGAGCATCAAGACTTGCTACTAAGACCATCAATTCTAAGGGGTTTGGGAATCTGAAAAACAGTACACAAATGACCCTTCAGTGAAAAAAATAATTTGAATGATTTCAAGAATAAAGATGTTGCCACATAATCTTTTTTCTTAATTATAGCTGGTCTCTAGTATTGCTGCTGTCACCTTTTCAACTTGAGTCCCTACAACATCTTGGACTTAAACTAGCGTGACATCAGTGAAGTACTCACTATAAAAGACCCACACAGTACTCAATCAGGATTGCTTTCTCAGAACAATCTTTTTTCCCAGAAATATCAGCTCTGAAACTCTTAAGAAAGTGATATATTAAATACCCTTAGGAAATAATGTTAATTAGAATGTGCCTCCTCTGACTTTTCAGCAAAAAAAAACCTACAAAAATGGGTCTGCATAAAAATGAATAAAGGATAAATAAATTAATCATTCTGGGAACTTGGGGCCTCAGCAATGGCTTTGGAATAGACATTTAATACTTTCATCATCTTGGCTATCCCATTCACAAAACACAAGAAAGAACAAATCACAAAGATACTATGACATGCAATTGCTTACATAAACACAAGGAAAGCTCATAAGCAAGCTTGGAGATCCTAAATTTACAGTAAAAAGAAATACCTCTTAGTAAGTAATTTTCTCTGGAAATATCCAAGTTAAAGACAATACTAAGCTTATGTCACAAAAGAAGCAAACAAACTCAACATAAAATCATTCATTTATTTTTAATTTATTTTAAAGGCCAAGAGACTGATATGTTTGGTTACCCACAGTTCTGTCTGATCAATCTGAACAATCATGTTAGACTTATGCACAATACATCTTGCCTCAGATAGGAGATTAAGATGTAGAGCAAGGACTTTTGTTTGATCACAGTTTAATTCAACAGTATATTTAAGTATAAATAAATTAACCACCCTGAAAAAGAAAACTTAAGCGACAATTAAGAGGCAATTTCTTCTCCCCAGATGAAGATGACTGAAGGCTGCTGTTTACAAAATTCAAATCATACACTTAAAGATGATGTTTAAACACTGGAACTTTAAGTAGTCTGTGTATTTTAAAAAATAATTCCACTGTACATGGCAATAATGACTTACCTTTTGGAAGGATCTTTTTGAAGGCATAATGAAATTAGTTTTCTAAAGGATTTGCCATACTTTTTCATCATTTCCTTGTCCTCTACACCTGTCTCTAAAGTGGGAGGGTCATTTTGAAGCGTCAGCATTAACACCTACAGTAAACCCAAAAAAGAGGTACCGTAAGCAAAATTAATTCAAAACATATAAAAATTAAGATAATAAATATTCCACAGAATACATATATTTAAATATCTTGAGTTGATATTGAAAATGAAGTAGTGCTACCTATCTAGCAGCATTAATAACACAGCTAACAGCATTAAGTAATACAAAGTAATTGTTACTTTCATAGGAGGGTATTTGTGATATGGTGCTGCTCCTGTTGCTAACTCAATTGCTGTTATCCCAAAACTCCACATATCAGCCTTGAAGTCATAACCTCGCACCTGGAAGAGAATCAGAAAGGAAAAAAAAGGTGGTGATGTCTCAAGTTCCAAAAATTAAGAGACTGAAAATATTTTCATTTAACATTAGGAATACCTGCTCCATTACTTCAGGCGCCATCCAACATGGAGTACCAACAAATGTTTTCCTTACTTTGTTACGAGTAACATCACCTCCTGTTGCTAAAAATGCACTAACACCAAAATCTAGGAAGAGGGAAAAAAGTAAAAATCTGTTAAACTACCAATAACAGAGCAAAAGTTTTACACTTTAGAAATGAAAGTCAATTCATAAAGGTCTACTCACAGATACTCTTTATTAAAGAATCATAGAATCGTTATGGTTGGAAGAGACCTCAAAGATCATCAAGTCCAACCGTATACCTGATGCCACCATGCCTGCTAAACCCACTAAACCATGTCTCGAAGCGCCACATCTAAACGTTTTTTGAACACCTCCAGGGATGGTGAGTCCACTACATCCCTGGGGAGCCCATTCCGATGCTTAACGACTATTATAGTGAAGAAATTCTTCCTAATATCGAACCTGAACCTCCCCTCGCGCAACTTGAGACTGTTTCCTCTTCCCCTGTCGCTAGTTACCGGGGAGAAGAGACCGACCCCCACCTCTCTACAACCTCCTTTCAGGCAGTTGTAGAGGGTGATCAGGTCTCCCCTCAGCCTCCTTTTCTCCAGGCTGAACAATCCCAGTTCCCTCAGCCACTCCCCATCAGACTTGTGCTCCAGGCCCTTCACCAGCTTTGTTGCTTGTCATTGGACACACTCCAGCAGCTCAACGTCCTTCCTGTGGTGAGGGGCCCAAAATTGAACACAGTACTCAAGGTGCGGCCTCACCAGCGCAGAGTACAAAGGGACGATCACTTCCCTAGTCCTGCTGGCCATGCTATTTCTGATACAGGCCAGGATGCTGTTGGCCTTCTTGGCCACCTGAGCACACCGCTGGCTCATGTTCAGCCAGCTGTTGACCAACATCCCCAGGTCTTTTTTCTGCCAGGCAGCTCACCAGCCACTCATCCCAAAGCCTGTAGCATTGCATGGAGTTGTTGTGACCCAAGTGCAGGACCCGCCATTTGGCCTTGTTGAACCTACTGCAGAGCTTACCTTTGTTCCATGACACACTGTTCTTGAAATGCTATGGAACAGAGGGTATAGTTTTATCTGGGAGATTTCACTAGGACACCCTCAAGTTTAACCTCCTAGTATGTGTCTTCCTGAATAAGGTTACAAAGGACTCCAGTACGTCTGTCGCTTATGGTTTTCAAATGTGCAGTTTGACCCAAAGTTTGAAAGGTTTGCATCTGCTATTGTTCAAAGACAAGGAGCTACTTCTGAATAGCTACTAAATTTGAATGTAATTTGAACAAGAGGGAATATTATATATAATTTAAATACTTAAGGAGATTTGACAAATCAGAGATAAAAGTTAACAGTATATATTTAATAGTAGACCATGACATGAATAGTTTTCTCCAAATTCCAAAAATAGCAAAAAACCTTAGCGTTCTGTTAATTTGTTACTACATCAGTGACAGTTGTATGGGAGAGACAGGGGATAAATGGAAGATATAAGAGCAGATTATCAATGTATGGAGAAATACTGTCACTTTGAACAGAGCTATATGAAGAATATTTTAGACTGTGCTATTTACAATCCAGTTATACTGAAATCAAGTAGCTTACTATAGACCTACTTCAATTTTTATTTTCCTATTTTTTTCCTATTGTTCCCTGATATTAAGTTTGGAGTGAAAAAAAGTAAAAATCATTAACTACAGAAAACGTAGTTTTATCATTTTCCACTAAACAACCATTAAGCATCACAAACTCAAATTCTAGACCTCTTCTACATTGTTAAAACACACAGAAATACAATAAACAAGTAAGAAGCAAGCTTCAAACAACATTCTTTAATCTTCCCTGCAGCTTGCCTGATGAATAAAAAAAAACCCAAAACATTTAAACCTTTTTTTATCCCCCCAAAAATCTTTAAGTTATAGAATAGACAAGTTTAATTTGTATTTCTGAAAAGCATGAACATCCTCAGAAACACCTGCTTCCAAGTTTTTAATGCCCTAAAAAAATCAATCCTGGTATTAGTGACAGTTTTCTGAAGAACTATTGCATGTAAGGAAGAGCTGAATAGGCAGAAATCAAAAATAAATAAATGCATAACTAAAGGAGAGCAATGGAAAAAAATTAATGTCCTTTCTGTACCAAAGATAAATAGTCTGTATTGGACAATTGTTTACAGGTCCTTTCAGGAACTGAGATATACAGCTAAAATCCTGACTTAACCTTTGCTCCCTTACTGCTGTTTTTCCCTATTAACATAACTTTAATTTTGGAAAGGACAACAAATAACAAACAAATGGGTGAGGGAGGACAGTGAAAAAAAACTAACAACCCAAAAACTACATAAAATCTCTTCTTCCATAACCTTCAAAATGAAATATTGCAACACATCACTGAGAAAGATGTGAAGAATATTTCATTAAGTCAAGTGAACATTTCACTATAATACTAGTCAAACACTGTTGTGTGTTTACATACAGAAAGAATGTTTTGACAGCTACTCAATAAAAACAAGATTTTAATTTCTCATCCCAGACATAGCTTTCACAAATACAGGTTACTTAAGAAGAGATATGACCTACAGTGGCAAGCTTCCTATCACATAGGAGACAAAGTATTATTGAGAACAAGTTACATGAAGAGGAAAGGGAACAATTCAAGCTGAACAATTCAACAGTGTTAAGCACTAGAAATCACAGCTAATACCAAAGAAAAAACAAATTTAATGAAGAGCCCCGATTTAACTGTACTAGGAAAGCATTCTGAAATTAAAGGAAAGAGAGATGCCCAAATAAGCATGGCCTACAAATCATTTATTCCCTACCATCTTTATCACCTCAGCCAGGGCTGGGCACTTGGCCAAGCCTCAACCAAGGCCAGCATCCAGAGTTAGGCGTAGGGTTAGGAGAGAGACGAAGCCTATGGCCTCCAACGGAGCTGGGCTGCAAGATGCCCACGAAGGGAAGGCACAGCCTGCAAAAACATTTCTTACCTGATGGCTTTTTCACCTCAGCCAGGCCTGAGGCTCTTGGCCAAGCCTCAGACAAAACCAAGCTCTAGGCTCAGGATCAGGCTTGGAAGAAAGACAAAGCCACTGTTTCCATAGCAGCAGAGCTGCAAAGCAGGTGACGCAGGAAGCCACAGGCTGCTAAAACATTTCTCCCCTAACTTTCTCACCTTGACAGTGGCTGTAGACTTTAGCCTGAGGCTCTGCCAAATCCGTGCATAGGGGTAAGGTTAAGACTAGGAGAGTAATAAAACATCAAGCTCACGTGAGAAAGGGGCTGGCCAAGAAAAGCTTGGGGTGCCCAGACAGTTGCCCCTGATAAATCTTTCTCCTCCATCTGGCTTGGGTGTCTGAGATATGGGCTCTGCCTATTTTTAACCAGATCTTTTCCAAACATTTCTGTGGGTATGGACTACCACAGGAGTGAACACCCTGAGAAACACTGGTGCAACGGATAAGTTCACACAGCCACCTATGCACAAAACCGAAGAACAAGATCTTCTGCCTAGACTCCTCAAAACACACATTCTTTTTCTGACAAATTTTACTGAAACTGTCATTTCTTGTATGGACTAAACACATCATACAGCCCATACCTTCTACACTTCCACCAACCTCTGTGTATGATTGCTCTTTGCTGTATGCTCCTTATCTCATTTCATGTACCTGTTCCTTTACTAGTTTCTTTGACATTTTGACCTTCACCAGGCAATTCAGGCTTAGAAGGCTGAAACCCTGATGAAGTACCAATCATCTTGTTTGCCCGAAGCATCCCAAGAGTTTTAAGTAGAATGTTGGAGCTGAGGAACTGCTATCTAACTGACTATCTAACATTATATTTGTAAGCTGAAAGTTTCCTGCTCTGTACAGAGGAAGTTTGTATTTTAAAAATAAGTCTCCTCAATTTAAACAAAACAAAAAGATGTGTATTTTCCTCTTTCCCATCAAAGACTGAGCAGATTCTCTGTGCAGGACCTCCAAGGTCTCTGTAGAGCTATCCCAATTCTTTGAAGAATCTATGCTCTTCCATATCTGCACAAAATCTTTTGTCAGAGAAACACTGAGCTGAGTTTAATTTGTGAGCCATAGCCCCTTAGAACCCAGAAATGCTAAAGGACAACTGTGTCTTCAAATATTACCCCTCATATACATTAGCACTGTGTACTATGGATACATCTTTTCATTATAGAAGCTTGGGGTGTAGCAGAACAAGCAGTCAAAACAATCTAAGTTCTTCGAGCAAATAAGAAGCAGCAAAGTTATCAGGTATCTGATCTCCAAAGATGAAAGGAGACTCTACTTTGTCAAGCCAAAAAGAAGTAAAAAGGATGAATTTCAGCCTCTTTGACATTCAAAATTGCCTTTCAGTTAATGTGCAATGTTCAGCTGTTCCAAACAGAACAGCCTCACACCAACAAAGAAAAAAATTTGACACTGCTGCACTTTTCTCCTGAAGATCAGAAATAATCTGGTATTGAAATAATGCATCACAGAAAGACACATTCCACATATCTATACAGCCACTGAATTTCCTCAGTCCTGCATGCACTGAATGCCCTAGCAGCACAATTAAAGCCTTACTCGTTAAGATGCCTACAGCAAAAAGGAGGAAAAGGTCAAGAAACCAAGACCTGGAGATGAACTAGAAAGGGATAAAGGAAGCTGCTGTTTGAATGCTATCTGGTTACTGGGAAAGTAGATTTGATTATGTGTGAAAGTAATAATCTAAAGTCAATAGCTTTATTTCAAATGGCTCATGAGATTTTCTCTTTCAGTTTTAGTTATTACTATTATTTTTAATTAAGTTGTTTGTCTGGACATCTACTCCTTTACAATATGAGAAGATCTAAAAAACACCTGAACAACACAGATCAAGAACCTCAGCAGTTGCCTGAAGTGCTATACAAAGTGAAGACAACTGTAGGGTACAATCAAGTGAATAAATAAATATTAAGTATCTTATGCAAACTCAAAGGCCTGTCAAATTGACCACCTACTTAAAAAGTCTTGAACTCAAAAGAGAAGACTTAAAACTGCTCCTATTAGTAAATGTTTCACCTGCCAGCCAATCTTTTCACATCCAGCTTCACAGACTTCAGACACTGGCATATTAAAGCCCTCAAAATGTACATTTATACGGTATTTTGAAAGCATTGTTTATATAAAAAAAGAACTTCTGGCTATAGTCATTTTTATTACTGAGGGCTACTAAACACAAAGCTTTCATCGTGGGGTCATGAGCTATAAACTGTGAAAGGCCTGCAAGCATGCTGGGAGAGGGGGCAGGTGTCACCACCTGCTCACTCTATTCTCCAGATATCTAATACTAACTTGAGAGATGGGATATGGGGGTCTTGCTTGGTACTTAAGCTCTTACGAAGACCAAATAATTTGATTCTTACAGACTACCACTCAAGAAGCACATAGATACATTCAAAGGATATTTAAGATGCTAAACTGTATCCAACTGATACCATTGGAAGACAAATAGCAGAAATGCCAAAAGTAACTCTCAGTGAGACATATCTCATGCAGCTCAGTGATTAGTTAAGTTATAGCCAAGGTCCTCATGAAGGGCAGTACATACAGATTCTTGAATCCCCAAGAATTACTTGAATTACAATTACTTGCAGAAACAAATGAAAAACTTGAACAGAAATAAGGTTTGCTAGCATTTGCAAGCTGTTTAAGGTACATCGGCGACTCAAATAGAAACATTAACAGGGCATTAAAAAGTTTCCTTATATATTTGATGTGATACAGAAAAATATTAAATAATTTCTAAATCATTTATCGTTAACCAAGAATTCTGAAATCTGAAACTGGGTAACTTGCAGCTACAGCACTCCAAAAGGAATAGTTAAAAGCCAATAGAGAAACTTGTATCTGTTGTCCCTAATCCAGCTGCAGTTACCTTTTTCTTTTATTTAGCCATTACTCTGCCACTGCCATTACCTGCTATTTGTACAGAGCCATCTTCACCCAGAAGAATGTTGCCAGCCTTCAAATCTCTAGAATGCACAAGCAGAGGTCAGGATGAAATGTGCACATTTTATGTAAATAAATAAATAAATATTGCATAGTAATTAGTTTCACAAGATGGCATTTTAAAATTTCAAAGACACAAGCAGGAACTAAAGTATAAAATGTAACTGATTTACAATAAAACAGAGCACAGAACTTGAACTCTCACAAACTCTATCCCTCTTGTATAAAATGACCCAAATTCAGTTTTGGCATAAAGTGAGCAGAATTCAGGGACAGATTTTGAGAACAGAAATATTTAGATCCAAAATCTGTTTCACTGCCTTTTATAAATATAATCTCACAAACTGAGAGTTTTCAGAGCTTTAAAGCAAGAATTAATGCTTTCTCACATCCAACTGCAACACTAATGAAAAAGAAAAGCTGAAAAAAAAGTTCTCCTCTGATCTCTTCAGAGAAGAGACTCATCTTCAAGAAAGGTAAATATACTGTAGATTTCTACCCACTGAAGCTATTAAAGCTCAGGAATAGCAACCATATTTTGTTATAGGGCACCATGATGAAGTTACTTGACACTGAATCTGTCAAAAATTCAGCATGTGCTTAACAGTCAACTCTATCCATTTAACACACTATTTACACATAATGTTAAGAAGAAATCTTTTTGGCTGTTTTTTTGATAGAAACTTGCATCCCATTCTTAAGGCATAGGATAAATCTTTGATACAGAATATACCATAAACATTAAGAATTTCAGCAAATCCATCTTTCCAACACCTGCTGAAAATAATTAACACATTGCTACTGCAAGGTAACATAGCCTGTTTCCTTATACGTAAACAAGAATGCATCGAAACAACAGAACAAATCCCTGAATAATTTTGGAAACATCTCCAGCTGGCAAATACCACCTGATACAGCGTTCCCCAAACTACCACAGCTTTCATCTACAACATACATGGGAAAAGGAAGGCACATTGTATCATCTCGAACAAGACTTCTGTGGTACTGCACAGTTTACAAATTAGATGTTACAAAAGAGGAGAAATCTCAGATGTAACAAAGAGATCTCTCTCTTTTTATCTTTTTTAAGGTCCTTTAAGAATAGACAAGGGGAATTCCCAAATCCGACCTCAAAGGGTCCTGCTATCCTTAAAAGCTAATGAATGTTCCTTCCGCAACAATATCAGCTTAACAGAAGACCATGAATTAAGCTTTGAGGCAGATCTTTGGCATTCCAGACCAGAAGTCAAGATAATTGTTCTTTATTTCTCCATTTATCTCAATTTTCTCTCTGCAAAAGGAGGAAATAGTTCTTGATTTACATCAGAGGCAGTGCATTTATGAGATGAGACATAAGAAGTACATATAAAGAACAATTACTGTGCTACATCTGCACTACCTCCGCTCTCAGAGTTCTGTTTGCAACAATCTGGTTTTTGTTTAAAAGATTCCCTTATAAAAGGCTAATGCTTGAAACAGACAGACAGCCTGTTGTAGGCACCTTCCTTAAAAGGTAAATTCACCTCAGTAAAACTAGTTAGGAAGGTCAGAGTACAGCACCTCCAACATCTAAACAGTGGAACCAACCCCGGTATGCATAGACCACCCCGGGGGATCTGCACAATTTACACTAAGCAGTCAGTGGAGAGAGAATACATAGAAGAGAATAACCACTAGACGCATATATACCAAGATGCAGTTCCATAGTATCGATCCCAGCTTCACATGTGGTCATAAAGAGAGGTCTGTAGACTTGTAACAGACATTCCTGATTATATACAGCAATGCCTGAGTGCCCAAGATTATAGGTTTACTGTGCAACACAATAACCAAGTCACAGACCATAGCACATAAACTAGATTCAGATTAGGTATTTGGAGTACCAGCAGGTACTGGAGTATAGACCACAGTTCTGCCATACTTAGTGCAGCACAGACCCATTCTAACTATAAGAGAGACAGACAGAATAAAGACCAGGCAAGTCCTAAGTATTAATGTCAAATTACAGTCAAGATTACAACATCTGCCTGAGTGTTATCATTTGATAATTACTGATGGCATTTACAGTATATGAAAGAGGCAATACAATTTGCTTAGCCAAGGAACTGCAGCGGACCAGTATCAACAAACTATACACACAACTTTGAAAATGCTTTTCACTGTGTATATCCTCTTACCTGTGAATTTGCCCATTCCTGTGTAGATAGTCTAAGCCCTCCAAAACTTCTTTAAGAATTGTTGCTATTATGGGTTCTTCAAGGACACCATTTTTGTGCTCTCCTCTGTTGACAATATACTTTATTATATCAAGCATTGAACCTATATTGCAGATCCAAGAAAGAAAAAAGCATATACATAGCATTATCATATCAGATTCTTGAGAAGTTATATTTCTTCATTTTTTCTATGCTACTGCAATTTAAGTCTTTACACATATGTGTAAAGACCTCATGTAACCACCTCTCAGAGTAAAGCACATCGCTACATTCAAACAAGAAACAAAGCACTGGTTTTTGACAAGAATACTGTAACACTCAATAATCCATTAGAAAGATCTGCTAACAGCTTGCTAAGCTACCATGTATTAAAAATGCAGGAGCATCCCACATTTAAACAGACATGTACAGCAAAGGTTTTGGTTTATTATCCAGCTTAGATTGTGGGTCATGTGCTCAAAACGTAAACATGCAGCTGCAAGACTGGAAGGAGGTATTCTCTGCAAACAAATGATAACAACATTCCTAGTGACACCCACTTTGACATTGAACTTCAGTTATTATAAATTTCAAGGAATCTAATAGCAACATTTTCTTTTTATCCAAGCATTTTTCAACAGCTCACAGTAAATTCCTATCATGAATCACTGGTTTCTCTCAGGGTTTATGCTTTTTTTTTTTTGATTGAACTGAACAATTCAACCAAATGTGATGTAACAAGTGTTACTTTACTAGCACTTCCCATTCTTGCTTTCTAGCATGATGGTGCAATAGTCTGCTGCCATCAAGACTAATCTTGAAGAACATCATGTAGCTATCAGGACCATGACATCTTATTTTGGAGCCTCACTTTTCTAAGTTACAAGCACATTCAGTTCAGCCCCTTTTTCCTCTTCCAGAGCCAAACAAGATTTTTTATATCATTAACTACCATCATAAAAACTGTAATGAGTGTTTGGTTAGTTTAAGCAATAAAAAGGATGCAACATGTATAATACCTGTCCTAGGAAGAATCTTCCTTGAATAAGGAATTGAAACACTCATTACGAAATCGGATATATATGCATTTTGACGAAAATAGAGTGGATTCCAGAGAAACTCAAAAAAAGGCCACACTAACAGAAGTGACTTAATTCTCATCAGTAACACAGCCTTAATAGAGAATTTTAATATATTGATTCAGAATAAAAAATTACAGTAGCTAGATTAACAGAATTTATCTCAGTAATTCTTAGCCTGTACTATCAACATACATACATAAACTCTTTAAGCTTGTGCATTCCTGAAAACCTATGTCTCAAGGTTCATCCTATGTAGTCTGTCTCCCCTCTCCTTACTTCATTTAAGTCAATCAACTCAAAGATGGTACATTAGAAAAAAAATCATACCATTTCCTTGCAGCTAAACAAGTAAAGCCAGTAACTTACCCCCACTTAACAGTTTCATAACCAGCCAAAGTTCATCCTTCACCACAAAAGATGTGTAATAGGTCACAACATTGGGGTGATTACATTGACTCATTGCTTGAATTTCTTTCTGTAAGAAATACAAAGCCCGACATAACACATCCAGCTATCAGTTCTGTTTGTGTAGAGAGAAAGTTTAATTTCCAAAGTGAAATACTATAACGGAACTGAAGTATGCACAGAATATGCATCAAGGCACCAAAACATTTCAATTTGCCTATAGATCTGCATGCAAGACAAAACATTACTGCAAAGAACACAAGGGCGGTTTGGCCAAGAGATACAGGCATAACTACATCAATTTTCTTCTGAGACCAGCAAAGAAATTACTGTTAAAGTCTCAAATTCAGAGTGACCATTGAAGAATGAGCAGTCTCCAAGAGCTGAAGGTGTGGGAACAGGCCGGACAACAAGACGCAAGGAAAGATCAAAACCTCTGCCTTTCTTGTTCAAAAGGGATATGAAAAGAGTAGAAAGGGAGCAGGTGGGAAAGGAGGAAGGAAGCTGTCAGACAAAAGACATACCACCACTGGGTCAGTTACTGTGGGATGGACAGGTGGACACCAGAGCCACGCAATCAAACAGAAGTGGAAGAGGAAAAAGCAATGTTACAGACCAAAAGTCAGAGAAAACAATTGACTGTGAGCACAGAGTCACCAACAGATGCACAACGTGGCACTACCAAGTAACACCATCTATGACATGCCACGGCTGTACACATTAAGAATGACTGCCTTGTACCTGTTACTTCAAGGACCTGTACTGTCCTTTTTCTGTCCACTCTTCCACATAATTGTTCTGTAACACCTTTCCAGCAGCTCTCGTTATCCTGCCAGTCCTTTACGGAGGAGCGTTTAGGCCTCCTTCGTACTGGCAGGTTTGGCCTCACAGCAACTTAAGCTCCCACAACCCTACTTCTCCCTCTCATCCTCTGGCCACACAGCCCGGATCCATCCCTGCTGCTAGAGAGCATGCTCCTGGAGGGTGAGTCATTGAGGGAGCCAAGCCAGCTAAAAACCAAACTCTTTCACCTCCCCTCCCTCCCTGAAAAGCAACTGCTTTCTGGTGGACCTGTGTTACATGCTGACTCACCAACACTGGTACAAGGCAGGCACTACGGCAGTCCCACTTAGATTGATTAAAGCTGCCACAGGTGCCGTGTTCAACTTTCAGCCTCAATTTAGCAAGTGTTTTAAAGAGGTTTTTTTATGCTGTTATTTGCAATGCACTTGAGATCACAGCAGCTTTCTAATAAAAAGTTAATTATTAAAGACCGTGATTTAATCTCATGATGCCTGTTTGTGACTGTTAAATCAGGCTGTAGTTTGACACACATTTCAGCTAGTCTTGTTGTCAAAAGTCCTCCTCCCTAGACAACTTCTGAGCCCTCAACCAAAGAAGGATGAATGCCTGGATAGTCATGCAATGAGCCTGAATAACGGAGCAATTTGCAAAGCAGCTTTCCCCACCTGTCCTCCCCCAGGAGAGTAGCTGGAAAACAGAAGATAGATATGTGGGACACATTTCCCTTTCCCAGAAGACATGTCAGCTTAAACACAAGTCAAATTACTGCCTCAGGTTCTTAATACAGCTATCCATACTAAATCTTACTGTAGCTCTCCCACTCTTGATTGCTATTTCATTTCTTATATTGTTTTATTGTTTTCCTATGCTGGTAATATCACAATGGCTCAGAAAGTCCACCCGCCACTACTGGGCAAAAATACACCTCATCTATTTTACTCACACATTAATAGTGCAGAAATGTAACTAATTGACTGTGGTAAGCTTCACTGTCTTTAACTGAAAAGTGCTTTGAATATTTTGTCAACTCATTCGCAAAAATTGAGATATCACAGTAACTATGGCCAAAGGCACCTTATGTCTCAGCTTTGGTGACTTTTTCCAAAGAAAGTCTTTGAGAAATAAAAATAAACAAACAGAAAGCACGCCATGAGACATAAGGGATTAAATTTTACTCAGGAAAGTATTAATTTCAGACGTGCAGTTCTGGAAAGCCCCATCACACACAGAATGGTAAGCCTCCACAAACTTCAGTTATTTGTGTGAGGCCCACGATATGCCCAGGCGAGAGAGAATAGCATTCACTTAAAATACACTGTGAGAGGAAAAGCTGGCAGCAGGACATCCAGGACAATGTCCCAGAGCCTTCTTCGCATTCAAGTCACTTTAGACATTTCACAACACCAAAGCTGTAACAGCACTTAAAATTTAAAGTCTCTCTCTCATCCCTCTGCTTCTCCCTCCCTTGTGCTAGCACAAGTGTTTGTGCACTGCATCAAGAAATACGTCCAGGTTAAAAGGTAACTTCTTTTTGGCCAGGTAACTCCTGATTCAGTTTTGCCAAACAGCTGCACAAAAACATGTGTCAGCCTAAGGGCAGGCGGGTGACACAGTTAATGAGCAACTGTGAGACGGCTCCTTTCAGTCCTCAGGTGCAGCGCCCACAGTGCCAGGTCCAGCTCCCAGTGACCAGGCAGGTGCCGCAGCTCTGTGGGTGCTTCCCCAGCCTCCTCCATAGACACCCAGAGTACAGCTGTTTGAGGGGTTGGGCATAACACACGAGGGCTCCTTCAGACAGCCTGCCTCAAAGGGCTATCCAGAGCAGAAATACAAATAGTATAGAAATTCTGTTCAATCAAACAAACCATTCTGTAGAATATTCTTTGGTTTGTAGTGTTGTGGGTTTTGTTTGTTGTAAAAAACTGGAGGTAAGTGGATGGGGGAAGATAGCCAATCAGGACAATACCAAGAACAGGAACTTCTTCCTTGGCTCATGGGGTTAAGTTACATTTAGCTTACAATAGTGAAGAACACACGACACTGCAGGAAACAGAGTATTAAATTTCAGGAGTCTGGCAGTTTGTGTAACCTTAGTATTATTTAAACTCCCTCCCGCACTGCCTTTCTATTTTAATTGACACTGGCCCAAATCCTCAGTCTGCTTACGTGGGCACTAGGTTTGCTGCATTTTCCACTGAAGGCCACGCAGCTGAGAATTTGTGAAGGGTGCCTTTGCACACCATCTGTAAGCACTCAGCAGTAGGATTTTACAAAACAGCATGTTTAGAAGGCAGTTTTAGAACATCCCTGTGCCAACGGAAACTGTTTGATCAGAAAAATAAGTAATTGAAAACAAAGCAGACCCAAAAACAGTGTTAAAAAACCCAAAATGCAAGAGCATTCCAAGTATTATCAACTGTAATAAAAATGTTAGTACAGTTGTAAAAAAAGTTTTGAAGGTCAACGATGCCCTTTTCCAGAATAACATCTCTACTTTTCAAACAAAATTTTAAAATCTATTACAACTACGTCAGAGTAAGTATACTTCCCCTCACAGAAAAAAAAACCCACTAATTATGTATGTGTATGCATGCACATGTCTGTATGCACATACAAAAATAAAAGGAATCAAACATGGCCTTTTTTTTTTTTTTAACTGCCCTAACCAAGAACTCAGAAAGTCAGAATTTATGTTCAGATCAAAACAAATCAACAAATAAAAGAAACACAAAATCTGAACATGGAAAAGCAGAAGTTGACTTACGTTAAAAAATGAAAAAGATGGCACGGACAGTTGTCTTTGTACCAAAAGAAAGCAACATGGGATCAAAAATTCAAGACTTTGTGCCTCATTTGGCAGATAGCGGAGACATGTCAGCAGTAAAGATACTCAAGCACTTTCTAAGTAACTTTGTACAGGCTGGTAACTAACTGCAGTCATTTCTCTAGACCACCTGAATATCTCTTGCAGATTTTTGGCAGTTTTGTCTGTTTTTATCTGTTGTAACTTTTTAATTCTTAATTCGTATTATCAGTTCAAATTCTAATCAAAAAATATCAAATTTTGACCATTTTATATTACAATGACTAATATTTCTGGTTTTATAGAAACGTTCTTAATGGACTGTACATGTTAATACATCATGCACAGCATCTCACCTTGCGCTGTTCTCTATCTAAACACAGTTCAAAATTTATCTTTTGAGTTTTTAGTTGACAGAAGTCTCACCACCTCAGAGCTAGCTTCCACTACCACAGTCCTCTTAAAAAACACAACAATGACCCATACAAGCTGTTACATAAACTGAAGGTGAATGCCATCAATCACCAGGGGAAGAGCATTTTAGGTCCTCCACTGTAAAAAAGCCATTTTATCCGAAGAAACTGCATGGACCATACCCTCTGTATCAAATTCAAGATATCTTTTGCACTGGCAATTCCCTGCTGAGGAGATCATTTCTTTCAGAGGCAGGAATTTCTGCATTAGAAAAAGCCCCCAGTCTCTAGGCAGTAGTATAACCTGTGGAACAGAAGAGAGTGTTCTCACTTTTAGAATGGGTTTGTGTCCTTCAACTCTTGTTATGCTGCCTATATATAAATACACATTAGTCTTACAAGCACCTGACTAGGCACATTAGAAAGCAACAAGTTTAGTTTTTTAACAGTTCTTTGTGACTTTGTCTGGATTGCCACAACCAGCGCAGAGTAAAAACTCCTGCAGTCCCTTTTACAAAGGGCCTCTTACACGTCCCTTCTTCCTCTGATCAGTGACCCAAACAAATAGCATTCCTCAAATGGCTTGTTATGGCCTATCGGATAAATGCATGTTATTAGCTTTAACAAGAGTTTCTTTGTGTATACGGTAACGTAGCCATTCCTACTTTTCCCCTCAAAAGTTATCACTACAAAATGATCCAACGACTAGTTTTTGCCATGTTTTGGTGCTTTAGACATGTTAAGGAGACCTACTAAATTCTATCTTTGTATTTTTAATCAGTGTTTAAACAAAGGAAAATGTATCTTGCCTTGGTATTAAGAAAAAACAGACAACCAGACAGCAATCTCTTGAAAATCCAGTCTCCAGAAAGCAAGGGGTAAAGTTCTTCCGACAGTTCTCAACAGTTGCTTATCCCAAGATTCAATTTTGCACTTCTTGTTTTTAGAAAATATACATTAGTAAAATATATTTTTAGGGGAAGAGCATACTTCTTTCAGATTATTTTCAAATCCTTTTCTCAGTATTATCCTGCACAAAATTTTACCCTCACTCTTGGACCAAGCGAAAACCAAAATCGAAACAGAAGATAGCCTCCATGTAATATGTTCCCCTCTGATTTACTTACAAGTAATTCATCCATACTGGTTTGGCATTTTTCTAAGTTGATCCTCTTTATCGCTACACGTTCTTGCCTGGGTTTGCATAGCGCTGCCTGGACAACGGCTGTAGCACCACTACCTGAAAAAGAGCAAAAAAGGAACGCAGTCTTAACATAACAGGAGTTTAACCAATGACCAACATAAGAACCCCACACTGACAAAGAACTTCAAATCTGCTGTTTATCCTTCTTCAGTGCTTTCCCCACATGCATACCTTTCCACTTGCAGGACGGCTTGCACACTTCTCAAATGGAGAAGAAAACCCCCAAAGTTTCTGTTCCCCACTCCACAAAAAATTCTCAAGTGGACAACTTAAAATGATATGCTCACTTATCAAGTCACATCCACCACCTCAATGCATTTCATAGTTCAGCAACCATTACACTTTCATCTTTGGACACATCTGTTTTAATCAAGATCACAACCTGCACAGTTAACACAATTTAAAACATTACGTGGAGGGGCAGGGAGTGCGTGCTTTATCAAATGTTATATCTTTCTGTTCTTTCAGGTCAGTCCCTGTTTAACCAGGTTTTTGTTCCCACTATGCAATGAACAGAAAAATATCAGTAAGATAAGTAAGTTTGAACATGCCAAATCTTCTACAGCTTCACTTGTGTTCCGGCTCATTCATCATGATTAGGGTAACATCCTACAAAAAAACATGCCGATTCTTGTAAAGAGCACAGGTGGCACAAGTATCACACCAACAGTAAGCAGATGCACGTTGCTGAATGGTACAGCAGAGAAAGTCAGTCATGCTTACTTGACATGCAAATCACATATGGTCATACAACTACACTGGTAACAAAGCTTGGTGGAATTGAACAAATTTCGAGGAAAGCATTAGAATAATTTTCTTTAGTATGCTTTATTTGCAAACAGCTGGAGTAAAAGGTTTTGTTGCATCGTCAAGCATCCATTGGCTTTGCCCCAGTCAGTATTGCCTCACTAAATTAATTAAATGATTGCCAGTAATATTCAGTTTTGCCCAGGTTGCACATCTTGCTGACACATCAAATACAGCAGTGTGTGCTTCCTCAAAGTAATTACATCATGCTCATTCATGCAGAAATCTAAAATCCCCTGACAAGTAGCTTCTGCCTGTAATTCTAAATATTTTAATAGAAATTATGGATTCTGGTAAGTCACGAGTTGAGCAACACGTTATTGGCCTGCTCATACACTATGTCCTATTTATGCTCAGTAATTGGCATGTCCTAGATGAATACAAATTGTGAACAAAAAGCCTTTTGTTATCAAGCTCTACAAACGTGGATTCAGTTACCAGCCGACTTAAGAACAATTGAGAGCTTTTCCCCTCTGCACATCTGAAAACAGCACCGACAATACCTCATGACTGAGTTATTGTCTGTGTTTTAATTGCTATTTGCTTAGCTATTTTCATGTATTGTTTGTTCATATGACATTTTCACTCAAATCACAAAGCTTTTTAAGTCAGTGTGTGAATACCATGACAAAATTCTGAGCTCATCTTAAAAAAAAAGAAGTCTCAACAGGACTAACTAGTCAGGATGCGGTCACAGACAAATATTGACATGTCCTGTTCTGTCTGCTTACAGAATAAAGCCCTTAAAAATTCCAGTAAAGTAAGTAATAAAAGAATTAAGAGAGATTTTAAAAATTAAATACGATATCTCAAGGAAGGAACCAGCAAGTCAGCACAGTTCAGCTCAAGTAAAACTCTTCTACACCACTTTAATGAAGTTCTCATTGAGTATAGACATCGAGACACAAATCCTCTTGTTACTTTAGCTACACAACTGTAGGTTGAAGCAGGTGGAAGAAACCAAATTTTTAGCTATTAAGGATACAGGAACAAAGATCAAGATTTTCCTTGATGTATCTTTTTCATCTATGCTAGTCGTTTTATTTACTTGTAGGAAACAACCAGATCTTCACTTTCAAAATAGATTCATATACAAAGGCCACATAAAGGACAAACAGAAAAAGCACTCAGCAAAATCGTTCAGCCAATGTCAGGCTGAAATCCTGACTGCTTCCTCAAGTTAAAAGTAAAATGACAGTAAGTAAGACTTCAAAACATTTTTGAAAAATTACATTACAAAAAAAAGTCCTGTCACATCACTGACCCCACCCCACTATACCACTTGCTTAAGTTCTGTGAGACCTCAAATCAAAGACTACGTGCTTACCACTATTTAAAAACTCTTGACTGCAAAATTAATCCTGAGCTATCCTTATGCACAAGTTGAAGATCTGTTCCTCTTTTGCCCACTGAAAGAGAACGTGATGCAAGATTTTAGGACATAAACTAGAGTTTATTTATACAAAAAGCCTTTCAGTGCATTTCCTTGTGTTTTCTCCTCAGACAGAGATGACTGGCAATGGGATATTCTTCACCACAAGAATATGATGCACTGACAATGCAAAAAACTTCCTATGTTTAGAATAAAGTCAATCTACTTGGTTTCTTCTTTCTCCTGCCTTTTGAATGCTCTACACAATACAGTATTTTGATATTAACAGCAATATGCGCAGCCTGCATGCTCAGTGGGACCTACATATAAAACCCATTTGAAAAAGTAGCTTCAAGTGCTGAAGTAGGAGCCAGGCACTTAGTGGCTATATGTCTTCTTCCTCTTGAAAGATGTTCCCCTCTCCTCTGGCTCACAAGGTGAACAACCAGGGATAAAGATGAGGAAAATCCGCAGCTTTTCCATCTGGTCAGAAGACTCCTTTTGTGTCAATAAAGAGGTGCCCTCCTCTAGTCTAATAAACAAGTAGACATGTGAAGCGTTCCAGAGGAGTAGCTGTGATAAACAGGACTACCTAGACAAGCATTTCAGTCGAGAGATAACAGATGACACACGTAATGCACTATCGTACAGTGAAATAAAATTGTCACAGACAACGATTTAGCATAACAAATTAGGATAACAGAAAATTATTCCATAGAATAGATTACCGTCAACCATTCCTTGTCAGAAGGCATGACTTCCTCTGGTTGAGCCTTATGAGTCTTCCAAAACCCTCACAGCGGAGAACATACTAACTACACCACAACCAAAATACAGACTGGTTTTAGCATCCAGTCTCTATTTAGAAAACCGATCTAGTATAATGAAAGCTCAGGCTGGATAAATCATGAAGCCTTTACATCCAGTTGTCTCCCACAGAAAAACAAAACAAAGGATCACCAGTGGTCAGACTCAAAAAAACAGCTCTGTAAGTGCAATGTGGTTTTTCCACTACTGGAAAAGTGTTCTCCTGCTACAGACAAGTTGTCTTTGCCAATTTCAAAAGTTAGCAGTGAAATAATGCAATCATTCCACATCAAGATGCCTACTACTCCCATTTCACAATAGACAACAAGTCAGAGAGCTTCACCTCGTCCTCACATTTTTGCTGCCATCCTTCTCTCTAGTGTTAGCATGCCCTTAGAGCCAACCTGTTCCTTCATGCTACGAACCAAGCACTCCCTACCATCCTGCCCTCAGTGCAGCAGAGCCATTAGAATGGCTTTTAACTATCTGGGTTCATGCAATGGGAAACCTTCTCAAGAGCTGTTACATATGGCCGTATTTCACTACTTCTGAAAGGATACAATCCAAAAGCAGTTTTCTGCATTCCACTTTGCACATGCTTCACAGAAAGCATATGAAAACCCCACAAACACTCCTTCAAGATTTAAGCTTATCTGAGTAAGATCCCTCAAGTTGTTCTAAATCTGACATAAATCGAAAAATACCTTTAACAAAACAAAAAAACCCCACCACATCACAGAATTTAACCCTCACAGAACTTGTCTCCACCTGGCAAAGAAAGGAAGAATTTTTGAACAAGTGTGATTAAAACTGACATTAACATTTTAGTTTTATTTACCCTCCACTAGTCAAGTCTCAAAAAAACAGAGCACAAGGTGAAATGGCTGGACCATATCATTTCCACATTGCACATGCACACATCCTTCTCCATACAAGCATGTGACACTTCATTTATTCCCTGTTATGTATAAAGGTCTGTCACTTTCCACTCATTCATCATTGCGCGGTAACTCTATTCAAAATAGATCTAGAACTATTCCTTTCAATCTTCTCCTTCTCAAAACCAAAAATCAGTAATTTCATTACCTCATAATGATTTACCAAGTCTTTTTTCAGTAGCTCAGTGTTACTCTACAGTATTGCAACCCAAACCTCTTTTAAAGATTTCTGCATTCATTAGGTACCTTCAGACACTCTACCCAAAGACACCTTCCCCAACGCCATGGTGGTTCTATCTCATCTGTGAAGATGACAATGTCATTCGTTGGTAAGTTTTCTTATTGACTAGGCATCTGAAGGGTTGTAATATGACAGCAGTCCTAACTGGAGAACACTAAATGCCTTATCTCAGAATCTATACACACTCTTACATACCAACCTATACCATCTGCGTTTTTACATGCCTCTTCTGCTCCCACAACATATAGAAACCTCCTACTAAATGTAGCTGACTAGTGCACACAAATTTTAAGCCAGCATCAAATCCAAGACTAAATTGTAACTGTAAAAGACGACAGTACTAAATAGAATAAAATCTATGAAAATGGATGAACCAGCTATGAAAGTATTTTTATTTACTCCCTCAGACCGTCTGGTTCTGAAGAACGGAGTCCCTCTAGGTAATTCTCAAATGCAGTTCATATGCAGTGTAACTGCAGGATTCCTTTTGCATAGAGCAGAATGCACTTGGCACACACACACACAAACTGTGCCTGCACAAATACAATCTAGCTTAGTTTTCAACTCATAAAAACATGTCAGGTTTATGTAAAATAAAAAGCATCTGTGCTTATATACAAGCTTTGAAAGCTATGTTGTATATGTTGTATATTGCATGCAATATTGTATAGCCTATTTCCAGCATTACAACATACGTGTTATGAGCTGATCACTACTTCAATATATCCTATGGCAGCACCGTGCAGAACTAGTCTCTTCAGTCTCTAAAGAATCAATTCTGTTGGTGGCAAAGCAATACTTCTGGTTAACAAAGAACCTTTAATCTTTTGGTTTCTAGCTTTTACCCACAATACTCTAGAGATCTTTCAGTATTACTCATTTTCTTTCATATTACTTCCATTAATTAAAAATACGTCATAAATCAGCTCATTAAAGCTCATTTAGACCACCATACAAAACTCTACATCTTTCTGAAACTTGACTTCTTCACAGAAAATGAACTCATGATTTCTCTCCTCATCTCCACACAACATAAATGCTTGTGTTCTTAAGAACTCCACGATAATCACGTAAACACAATTTACTAACAATTCCTGCCTACTTTGTGTTCTTAATTCATGCTGGGATCAAATCTCTCATCTTATAACTCACTTGGATAGTAGTTTGTTTATCCTAGCCATTAGGTTTATGACATAATTCACTTAAAATACACTAAGTGTTCTATGAAATCTATGCCCATACATAGAACTGCTACTTCTGCATTTTCATCATTCAACAATTAATCTCATTAATTCTTCATGGAGCTACACAAAATGAAGTTGTTCAGCAGTCGGACATTTAAAAACACTACCATTATAGCTATAGAATCATTGGGTTATTCAATTGTTGTATTTACCTTTTTGTAGGAGAGTAGCTTAGACAAAGTCTCTAAGGTCCAGCTTACCCCATACTACTTTTCAAAAGCACGTTGCATAAATAATCCAGAAGAAACTCTCCAAAGATTATAAAGGTCTACAAATACTTCTGTGATCCCAGTGAAGTCTTAGAGGAGTAGCCTAAATGTCCATGTCAAAATTATTATGTATTATAGAAAATCTACAAGAGAATTTCTATGCAAGTGTTGAGCCAACCTATACTAATGCTAAGATACAGCAAGCTTAAGCATTAACCAGACATCATATTCTACATGTAGGAAAAAAAAAAAGGCAGGGGGATGCACAACCAGCAATAAAACCCCACACACAAGAAAAACAGGAGCAGGAGGGCATCACTAGGCTTTTTGAACTATTCTCTTTATTTCCCACCATCCTCACTAAAACAGTACAAGGACTGCTTGTATCAGATGTTTTGGCTAGACAAATCACAGGAAACATTTTGAGGCTTGCTATGCAGTACTATGTTACAACTCCCTGTCAAATCTGCGGAACAGAATAAAGAAAATCTTCTGCCAAAAGCACATGAGAACAGGAATCTACTTTCTTGAACACAGAGACTTCTAGCATCAGAGTACAGCAAATAACTATAAATCCCAAACAAATTATTCAGGAAATAAGACAAATCAATACTGTACAAAGTGGAGGTCCTATACAGATGATCTGGAAAATGTAAAGTCTTCCTTCCCTCCATCAATGAGCCCAGATACAGTATATTGCAGGAACTCTTCTGAAATGTCTGTCTTATCTGAGGAACAATCAGCTATCGCCACCAGTCATGGTTAAAAGAATTTTAAGAGGGCTCTACTCTGACTGAAAAAGGCATCAAAGAAATCTGTGGCTAGAAAGTGAAAACAGATATATTTAGGTTAGACATAGGTTTATTTAATAGCAACTGTGTTCAGCTTTGAAATAACTTATCAGCCTAAGTGATGGGTCTTTGCTTTCAGACACTTTCTTCGTAAGGAGACTGCTGCCTAGGGCCATACAGAGCTCAGCACTTGCCAGGTTGGTACAATGCCATCAACATACATAGATCAGATTGGAAAGTCCAAGGATGACCATTAACTACATCTGGGGCATTCAAATAAACCTGGTAATAAGCACAAAGTTTGGAAAGGGAGGAAGGAAAAACAGAGACTGTGCTCATTACCTCCTTCTACCTCATGACTGACTCCTCCCTCTGTTCCCATCCCAGTTCTCCCAACAGAGACTGACAAGTGCTGATGTTAAACCCCAGCCTGAGAAATTTTGGGGTTTTTTTCTTTGTCAGAGAGGCCTTATTTAGTGCAACTCTATTGAAACAAGTGAAGTAAATGAACCACCAAAAATACAGCTGCTGTGTTTGTTAAGCACATGGGAGAAACAATAACTTACAGGTGGACCAAGATTACACATTGTGTTGAAGCTCAGTAGAAATAAAGCCATGCCTCACTACTAGAGAAATACATCCTGTTACTCCATATAGTCATGTCCCATACTGCACACAGCCTTGCCTTTGAAGCTACAGTAGCAAGACAGTCAGTATCCCAGCTCCCTTACCAGTCTTCCAGTCCAATATACCATATTTACTGAAGAATGTGGTTTTATCCCCCTGTGCTACCATCATTAGTGTTTAAAGTGACACCACCACAGCAGCAGACACAGTTAGCAACCTACCTGACAGCCT